CAAAACAAATGGCACATAACTCATTTTATGTAGCTGTTTATGACTTAAGATGTTTATATATATGATATATTAAGGAAAGTTTCCAAACTTACAAAGATATCCCATGACAGTGGGATCTGTACAATTATAGACTGAATTATATTGTTTTAATCTTAATTTAATAATGAAGGAGATTTTCTAACAGTGAGAGCCTTTCAACAGTGCAAAAGTATAGAAAAGAAAATAAATCACTTTAGAGATAATCACTTGTTAGTTAATATTGAATATATTTTCTTTAGTCTTTTTTTCTATGCATTTATATATTTATTTTTGTAAGTGGAGATCAAACTGTATATCATAATTTTATAACTTGTCTTTTCCATTTAATATATCTTTTTTTTAAAAGATTTTATTTATTTATTTGACAGGGAGAGCAAGAGCACAGGTAGGGGGAGCAGCAGAAGGAGAGGGAGAAGCAGGCTCCCCGCAGAGCAGGGAGCTTGACGTGGGGCTTGATCCTAGGACCCTGGGATCATGACCCAAGCCGAAGGCAGATGCTTAACTGACTGAGCCACCCAGGCACCCCTCCACTTAAAATATCCTATGAGGACTTTCTTGGTCATGAAATAGTTTTAATTTTTCATTTTTAATGGCTATATAATATTCTACATAATATTCTACTGTTTTTTATAGTTTTATTGAGACATAATTGACATATAACATTGTATTAGTCCAATGTGTACTGTATAATGACTCTATACATATATAGTGAAATGATGACCACAATAAGTTTATTTAACATCAGTCACCTCAGATAGTTATAAGTTTTTTTCTTGTGATGAGAACTCTTAAGATCTACTCTCTTAGCATCTTTCAAATGTACAGTATTAACTACAATCACTGTGCTGCACATTACATCCCCAGAACTTAATTACCTTACAACTGGAAGTTTTTACCTTTTAACCACCTTCACCCATTTTCCCCAACCCCCCCCACCTTTGACAACCACCAATATGTTCTATGTATCTATGAGTTAGGTTTTTTAGATTCTACATATAAGTGAGATCATACAGTATTTGTCCTTCTCTGTCTGACTTATTTCATTTAGCATAATGCCCCCAAGAGTCATCCTTATTATCACAAATGACAAGATTTCCTTCCCTTTTACAGCTGAATAATACTCCTCTGTGTGTGTGTGTGTGTGTGTGTGTGTGTGACATTTTCTTTCTTCATTCATTTGTTGATGGACACTGAGGGTTGTTTCCATGTCTTGGCTATTATAAATTATGCTGC